CCCCCGTAAACCAAACTCGGGGGTGGGGGTGGGATTCCAGTGGCGCACGGGCCATGTGTAGAGCCACTGCGCAGGGGTGAGCTGCAGCCAGTCAATGGCATGTCTTGGACACGGACACGGGCAGAGAGTGAAACTGAAAGCAGCCCCACGCCGTTCTGCACGGAACAGCAGAGCCAGGTGCTACTTTGTCCCCAAAGGGGGTCGCTTGCACTGAACACGTCGCCCAGGGGAGGGAAATCCACCTTTGTCAGGGCCCATCCTTCCACTGCACATGGGGCGTTTTCCACTGACGAAGGAAACTGTCTGACGGGAAGGGGGTGGAGGGAGATATTTTTTTCCATTTCAGTCAAACACTCACACTGAGCATTTTCCAGCGTCACCGCGAAACCTCTGCAGAGATCAGTGTTACAGGGCGATTCCAGACTGACTAGCAACCCCCTAAATACGGCCTCCTCCACACAGCTACCTCTCCAGGCCCCCAGCAGCCAGACCCTCTCAGACACAGGAGAGCAAGCAGGACTCTCTCTTGCTTCATCGCGAGTGGAAGCTTCACCTCAGTTTCAGCGACAGAACCTTTATCGCCCATAAGAGGGCAGCAAAACACACAACACGCGGCGGGTGTTTAGAACCCAGCCCTGGAAGCCAGAAACTCTTGTGACTTGTTAAGTCAAATCAATTGTATCTGGAATCGAAAGAGTTGACACAACTATAGGCTCCTATGATGTTATCGTTAAAGTCTGCCCTTGGGCGACAAGCGCACAGACACTGACGGGCATCAGCTAAATCCCTCCAGGAACAGAAACCACAAACTTAGATTCCCCCAAAAGACCCAGGCCCCTAACAGTAGTTCCACTAATTCAGATGTTGGACACACACGTATGGCTCTGTACACACAGGTCTGGCATACTCCATCCTGGAGAAGGCAGCAGCTCCCATGAACACACAGCTTTCCTGTGCTTGTCCACTCAATTCCCACCCATGATGGTCCATTCCAGCCAGCCACATAAAAGGCAATGCCATCCCATCACGTGTGCTGTCATTCATTGCCCTGACACACTTCGGAGACCCTAGGGTGACCAGATGTCCCTATTTTATAGGGACAGTCCCGATATTTGGGGCATTTTATTTCTATAGACGCCTATTACCCCCCCAACCCCATCCCAATTTTTCACACTTGCTGTCTGGTCACCCTAGGAGACCCATGTAGGAAAAGGGTCCAGTCACTTTTATGATTTCCTAACACAAGCCCGTCACCAGCACAAGCTCCCCAGTTCAATACAGTCCTCCAGAGCTCGAATGCAGAGAGCTCCTTTACCAAACCAGCGCCAGTACTAATGCTCCAAACCAGTCATCTTCTGGAAGGGGCTACAGCACGGTGCCTTCAGAGAGCCTGGAGAGACATCTTGTGGTGAACACAGACTTGTCAGCATAGAGGCTAAAATACAGATGCAGTCAAGGTATTTCCCCTTGTGTTGCATGCACAAACTGGCTGGTTAGGGTTGTGTATAAACGCCAGGGAGCTGGCAGTGAAAAGTCTGTTTTTTACTCCTGAGGGGATTCTGCGCCAAAAAAATTAAAATTCTGCGCACAATATTTTAAAATTCTGCAAATTTTGTCTGTCAGTAAATAAATGTGGAGGCTCCAGCATGGCAGGGGGAGCACTGGCCACTGGCTGCATTGAGGTGGGAGATCATCCTGAAGCCCCCACCTTCCCCAGTACAGGGACTCGGTCATGAGGCTGCACCTGACCCTGACACAGCACAAGGGCTGGGCCTGCCCCAGAAACTCCCCAGGGCCCTGCTCCTCTGCGCCAGGTGCACCAGGTGTGGGTGGGCAGGTTCAGCCCAGCAGGATCCCAGTATGGAGGGGCTCAGTGTGGGGGGATCCAGGTGTGAGGTGAGAGATTTCTGTGTGGAGCAATCTGGGTGCGGGCAGCTCAGTGGGAAATCTGAATGCACAGGGGCTCATTGAGGGGTTCCGGGTGTGGGGTCAATGGGACACTGCAGGAGATCCCAGTGAAGGTGGTTGGGGATTGGGGGGGGGGTCTGGGTGTGGTTCGGGTGCTGAGGGAGTGGGACTTGATGGGGTGGGGGTCCAGGTGCAGCTGGTTGGGGCTCAGTGGGGTGGGGATCCGGGGGTGGGGGGCTCATCAGAGGGGACCAGGTGTAGGGGGGTAGAGCCTGTCAGGGTGAGGGTTCGATGGGCCTGCTTAGTAGAGGAGCCCCAGCTGCTGCTGAGGGAACAACGCATGCCGAGCTCCCAATTCCCCTATCCCCTTTTCTTCTCCATCCCCCCCCATGCCCTATTCCACCCCCTTCCA